TGGGGCAAGTCTAGAATGATTAGGAATGAGCATTTTTCTGAGAGTGTCAAATTGTGAAACTATGCTTAAGACATATGACATGATGTTTCAGATGCTTTGACTTCTTTTCCTATCACCTTCCTGTGAGGATTGGCTACTTAATGAGGTCCTCAGTCTGGTTTGGAGCTACCAGCTGATTTTAAGGCCTTTGGAGAAGCTGTAAAACTTTAGAAACTCCCTTTGGCTTTATGTATGGTAAATATTGCTCTGTATTTAAAAACAAAACAAAACAAAAAAACACAAAAAACCCAACAACAAAAAACCCCTACCCCTGGCTCCTCTGATACCTGGTTGTGCAGCCTTCGAACCTGTTTTCTCGTCTGTAGGGTGAGGGCACTGGACTTGAGTCGCTCTGAGGACCTTCCCGCTATTAACTCTCCACATAATCAGTCATTTTCTCAATTCATGAAACAAGGAGTAGTTTTAGGACGGACACAGTAAAGTCCTGACTGCATATAGGGCACCTCGATCTAAAGGTTGTTCATTTACTGAGGTGCAGGCAGCTGCAATCTACACAGGACACTCTACCGCAGGCCATATCCTTCATGACACACGTACATCCCCTTTAAGAGTCTGCTCCCATCCTCGTCCCAGCATTTCAATCCTAGGGGACCCCATCCAGAGCCCCAATTTCTTAGCCACTGCTTTGATCTCTGCCCTAAACGCTCCTCTGGAAAGAACCCAATAAAGGGCCCCTGTACACATGCTATAGATGTGCAACAGTCCTGCTATGATGGTTGTTATTATTATATTTAGGGATGAGGGAGTCTGCCTGGGCTTCCTCAACATTCACCTTGAAGGTGGCTGCTGACACCCCTTGCTCCCCCTTGGCCTGCAAATGGATTTGGCTATTTTAAATTCCACTCCCGCCTCTTCCACTGCACACCCACTGCCCAGCCCTAGGTGACATCTGATTTCCTCCATTTGGGACATTCCAGTTTCTTTCTTCATAGCAAGCACATCAAGTAACGGCAGCTGGAGGGCTCATTAAGGGTCCCAGACCAGGAGAGAGGAACTGATCGAGGAACAATTGGGGGCTGAGGTCTGGAAGCCACACTCTCAGCTCCCCACAAGCTGGCCCCCCGCCCTATCCTCCTCTCTCAGCTCTGACCCTCCTCTCCCAGTGGTTTGGCCTCTCCAATCGTGGCCTTCTGTTCACATCTGCCCCTATCTCGCCTCATTCCAGGCTCCTCTCCTACTGGGTCCCCTCAGCCTTGCCTTCCCTGCCAGCCCCCTCTCATCCTGCCTCACGGATACAGTCTGTACCCCAGCACACTGCTTTCCATGCTAGGGTGGGTGGTGTGCATGTGCTCCTGGATTCCTGCTTCCAGACCATCGTACAGACTGCGCGCCTCACCGGAAGGCCTTGCTCAATGCCCTTCTTCATTTTTCAGAGAGTGGTCCAGGCCTATCTGCCCTAGTCCGGATTGCCTGCCCCAGAACTATGGGAGACCTCCATGAGCACTCCGGTGGTCCTGAGCATGGCCTTTGGTGCTGGCATCTTTTAGTGCATTCTTTCATCTGCCATCTCCTGAGAGTCTCACAGCATCCCTGAGAGGGAGCCAGGGCCTGGGTTTTGTGGAGAAGAAACCTGAGGCTCAGGGTGGGGTGAGGGGATGGTCTGGGCCCCTATGCCCACAGGGCGCCTGTGTACCCTTCCAGAGCAGGATCCCTCTGCACATCCATTTCATAGGATCATTCTTTAAGAAATCCATGTTCTCCTCTCTTCTCTGCATTTTCTTTTCTCCCAGGGGTGTCCATCGGTCCCAGGTCTCTCTTCTCTGCCTCACCCCTTCCTCACCTTTGCCTTTTGCTTTGAACTAAGAGAACATACCTTGAAAGGAAAGGCGTAGGGTAGAGGAAGGGCTTCAAGTTGCTCTGGGGCACCTTTGCTGGCCCAGAAGTGTCTTGCTCTTGCCATAGGGCTGTCCCACAGAACTTTCTGTGATGATGTGTATGTTCTATATCTGTGCTGCCCAGTCTGGTAGCCACTAGCTACAGATGTATAGCTAGTATGACTAAAGTATAAATTTAAATTTTTAATTTTAATTAATGTAAATATAATGTAAATATGATTTGAAGTATAGCTAGTATGACTAAAGACTAAATGTAAATTTTTAATTTTAATTAATGTAAATATAATAAGTCACATGTGACTAGTGTTTGCTGTATTTGGACAGTACAGACCTTAGTGTCCTTCCACGAAGAAGATGCCTCGCCCAGGAGATGCCCCCTAGGGCCATCTCCGCACAGACTAAGCCACCGACTCCTGCCACCTGCACAACAGCTCTCTCCCTCGGTTCCAATACCCTTTGCTACTGACCTCAGTTTCCATCACTGCATCCACCATTTCCACTCACTCTTCTCTGAAGCCCACTGGCACCCCTAGTCTGGGTCGCAGTCCCTTCTGGCCTGCACTAGCCCCCTATTTGGCCTCCCTGCTCTGCTTTAATCTCTTATTCTAGGGCCATAACTGCCCTCCTCCAGAGCCTTCCATGGCTCTTGCACAGATCTAATTGCCTCTAAGGCTCTCTCGACATAGGCTACCTGTCTCTCGGCAGCCATATCTTCTACCACTCCACCCTCCCAGCCCTCCAGGGTCTTGGACTTCCTTTAGTTCCCCAAAGCAACTCCCACCCCCTCTCCCTGCCCGCCCTCTGGCTTCCAGCCTCCAAAACTTATTCCCTTTGCCCCTAAAAACAAGGCTCTCATACTCATTCCCTTTTGCCTGGAAAACTCCTATTTGTCCTTTAAGTCTTTGCTTGAAAATCTCTTTCCCAGGAAGCCGCCTCCATCAGGTATGTTGCATGTTCATACAGTTCTCAGGCCTCCTCTGCTTCCATGATTATAACATTTTTCACACGACATAAGTCACTGCCCCTTTTCTTCCTTGTGTTTTATTTGCCTGTAAGTTTAGGAGGACAGAAGTGTGTCCGCACCGCCTGACCCACAGCTGGTGTGCTGAATGAATGAATAGGAACGGACGAAGGAAAGTGGCAAGACATAGTGGAAAGAACACGACATCTCACCATGTGACGCTGAATAACCTACTGCCTCTCTCTGCGCCTTAGTTTCCCCATCTGTGAAATGAGGTCGGTTCAGATGGGAGATCTAGAAGTCAGTGGGGTGAACATGAAGCTGCAGTTTGGAGGGGAGGAATTGGTATGTCAAATAACACTGTCAGCACCAAGGCCCTGACAGGCTGTCTTAAGCAGAGGAAGCAAGGATCTGGGAAAGGGCTGGGGCGTGCCCTGGGCAGCAGGAAGGGCCAGGAAGGAGAAAGGATGGAACTAAGAGGAACTAAGCAAAACTCCAGGGCTTGATGCTTGTTCCTCAGCAACCAGGGCCCCGAGATTCCTGGGCGAGCCCTCACTGCCCTCACATCCTCTCCACTGCACAGCCAGTCCCATGTGCACTCTGGTCCAGCCCATGAAGGCTGCCTGCTTGCACTGCTGAGCCTAGAGCCCCCACTCCCAGGCCCAGGGGACCGTGGCAGCCTGACAGAATCCCTAGAGCCTGGCAGATCATGGAAATGAGCTGACGGCAGCAGTCATGGGTGCACCACTAGCACCAGTAAACTTGCCCTGTGACCACCCTCTCTGCTCTGGCCCTGTGACCTCCCTTTCCTTGACCAATCTGGAGAACTGCTTTGGCAGGTACTAGCTTCTGCCTGGTAGGGGCACCTAGGAGGGGCCTGGCTGTAGGGAATTGGTACATCATTCCAGAATGGCTACAATGCCACCACAGTTAGAGCTGGGCTCTAATGCTTGCCCTCAGCACCACCATTTTGTGAGCTCAGAGGTGTCAGGGAATTTGCCCCAGATTGCACAGCTTCTAAGTAGCAGAGTGAGCATAAAACCCAGGCCTGCTGGACCCTACCACCTGGCCCTTCACTGTTCCACGCAACTTCTTACCAAGAGGCCCTCTCCCAGTTTTTCCCATGGAAACCTTTCATAGCCAGCCTCTTCCAGGACCTCTTCCCAGACTGCTGCAGCCATCACCTGCAGGTCCTCCCCTTCATCTGTGCCCTGGATCCCCAGTGCTGTCCAGACTCTCATAAGTCACCAGGCCTCATTCTCTCACTGCCCAGACTTCACTGGTGGTGCCAATGGGACTGAATGTCCCTCCTTCCTTGAGTGGGTGGGCCTTTTTACGTACACACAAGATTGTCATGGCTGAGACATTAGTGGCTTTTAATCCACTTCTGTTCAAGAACATTTTGGGAAGAGGAGAAAGCTCAACATCCCCTCCCCCAGAAAAACACACTAACACAGAACGTTAGGGGACCATTCCAGGGGGCAGGGAATAAGAAACTCTGCTTAGAAAGAAAAGGGTATGCAGAGCCAGGGCGACCCACATTTAGGCCCCAGCAATCTGGGTCAATGAGCAGGGACCAGGACACCACCGTTGCAAGGACTGCCCACTCTGCCCCCCTCAGCCCCTTAGATGACTCACTCCTCAGTCTCTCTTCCCAAAGCAACGTTGGCAATGAAAGTCAGGCAGTACCGATCCTCAAGGGATAGATGGGGAGGGCCTGGGGGCCCAGTAAGCCTCAGCCCCGGGCCGTGGGGCACACGTCCCGCCGCGTGGGCGCTGGGCGACTCTCACATCACCTTGGCAGGGTGCGTGCAGGGAGGGAGAAGTGGAGCTTAGCCGCCTCCGCGCGCCTCGAGCGCCTTCTTATCTCCACCTGCCCGGCGCGCCCAGGACGCTCGCCGCGCAGGACGCTGGGGGCCCCTGCCAGAGGCAGGAGCTGAGGGGACAAACGCGTACCGCTCAGGTCCTCCGCATTCCCAGCAGGGCAGAGTCGTTCCCCGCCCCCCAACCACTCGTGAGAGTTCTGGGGCGCACGGCGCGGCGCGGATAGCAAGCGCCCGCGGGCACTGGCTGGTGGAGAGTTTGGAGGCTGCGCGAGGGGACGCCGCGGGGAGGGATAAAAGCCAGCAACAAAGAGCACAGACCTCATCCAGCAGTTGGTTGACTTGTCCCAAAATAGCCGGCTCCATTTGCTGCTCTCCACGCTCCGCTTCCAGGCGCAGCACCCGGGCCTGCAGCTCGGCGGTCCGAAAGTGGGCGAGCAGGCTGAGAGCCAGCGAGCAGAGAGCCAGTGCCAGCAGCCCGCAAGACCCGGGGCTCGGC